GGACACTTGGGGGGCAGGGTCCTTGCTCAGAAGGCCCTGCGACAATGGTACTACTGGCTCACCATGAAAGCAGATGCCGTCAAGCTAGTACGTCGATGCGATAAGTGCCAGCGACATGCCAGCATTCTACACCAGCCTACGACCGACCTGAAATACCTAACCAGCCCATGGCCCTTCACACAATGGGGCATAGACTTGTTGGGCCCCTTCCCCCCAGCGAAAGGTCAGAAAAAATTCCTAGTGGTGGCGGTAGACTACTTCACCAAGTGGGTGGAAGCTGAACCGTTGGTCACCATAACAACTCACAACGTCCAAAACTTCTTCTGGAGGAGTATCGTCTATAGGTTCGGCTTACCAAGAGTATTGATCTCGGATAACGGGAAACAATTTGAAGACATCAAATTCCAGAATTGGTGCGCACAAATGGGAATAAAGCAGAATCTCACCTCGATTGCCCACCCCCAAGCTAACGGTCAGGCTGAAGTAACCAATAGGGCGATCCTCCGCGTTCTCAAAGCTTGGCTCTCCCGAGCTAAGGGTTTGTGGGTGGAGCTGCCCAGTGTACTATGGGCCTGCCGAACAACTGTCAAAACAACAACTGGTGAAACACCCTTCAATTTGACGTACGAAACCGAGGCAATACTACCAACAGAGGTGGAAGTACCAACGTTACGATCTGAGGCATTCGCTAAAGAGACGAATGAAGAAGATCTACGAGCAAACCTTGATCTAGTAGAAGTGAGAGACCTGGCTTACATTCGGACTACAACATACCAACAATGTGTAGCCGGTACTATAACACCTAAGGGACTCCAATTTAGAGTTGGCGACCTGGTACTCAGGAAAGTTATGGTATTTGAGCCTGGTGTAGGAAAGCTCGGCCCGAATTGGGAAGGCACTTATAGGATCTCCAAAATTATAGGCGGAAATGCGTACGAGCTCAAAACACTCGAAGGGAAGGCGGTACCCCAGGCCTGGAATATAGATAACTTCCGTAGGTATTATTACCTTTGAAGCGAAGTGTTTCGAGCTGTGCTTATGAGTTCACTAAAGCTCGCTAAAGATTAGCCGACAACTCGACCAAGAATCACAGAAAGCAAAAATCGACGAATTAAAATTACAAAGCCATATTTGACTAGCGTGACGACAAGCCAACCAAGCTAAATAAACAAGTGGCAAAAGCTACGCTGTGAAAATATCAAGTTCCATTGAAGAGATAGAAGAAGGCGAAATGGCCGTACAGGGATACCAAAAAAAGTTCCATCAAGTTCCAGCAAGTTCAATAGTTTGGACATCAATAGGGCACACAGGCCCATAAGAGCTTACAGGAGTGCACCGGCTCCCGGAAATAATAGAAAGACCACCACTAGACCAGTCATGCTGTAGGGCTGAGCTACTCATCACCATCACCATCCTGGGCCTCGTCGTCGCCACCCTCCTCGTCCCCTTCTTCGTCATCGTCCTCCTCTTCCTTTGGGGTCAAGGGCTCCTTGTCGACCTACGTGATGAGCTCGTCTGGCACATTACGCACAAAAACGAAGCCAATGAAGGGATGCCTTCCTCCGCCCTTTTCTTCTTGTACTCCGGGGACCTCAAGAAGTGAGCAACAACCTCCTTCCTAGCTCGGAGCATGTCCTGAGCATACTTGGACCACCTCTCCTCCAATTGAGCCTGGGCCCTTGACAGCTCGCGCTGCAACTTTTGGTTCACCTTGAAGAAGCGTTGGCGATCCTCTTCAGAATCGACCCGGAGTCTCTGCATCTTGGCCTAAAGCGAGCTGATGCTCGCCTGCATGCTGGCCCTATCCTTCTACCCGAAATGGACGTGGTCCAGCAAGACTTGCCCGAAAGTGTTCGCCTACAAAAACCACGATCATAATAAGATATCCTGTAGACAAGGACCAAGAAACTGTAAAAGAAGACAAACCTGGACGGTGCAATGAGTCATCCGAGCTTCGGCATCGATGGGATCTAGTTCGCTGTAATGGCACATGTCTTCAGGGAGAAGCATACCCCTAGCTATCCGAAGAGCTACACAAGGGTTGTACGATCGGTCTATCATTGAGACATTAGTAATGCGGGGGACAAAGGGAGGAATGTCCTCGACATAAGGTCTGGCCTCTCACTCCTCTTGGCTGACTTGGGGTTGGAAGGTGGCAGGGATTGGGTACTGATTAGTATACATCGACTCGTCATCCCCCTCTAGGTTGATGATGGGTGGATCAGAGTTGGGCGACCTCACCTCGGCACTGGCTGAGGTCCCCCCCATAGAAGAACGATGCTCCGCCCTCTGTTTCTTCCTGGATGACCTCCTCTCTCTGTCAACATTCATCATAGAAGTCAAGCTCGCCATATCTAAGAAAAGACAAACCATTAGAGCGACTAGATAGACAAAGAAAAAATACGAAATGCAGATGTTATGCCCTAACGGCCCACCTACCTACATGACTTAGGCCGGCTTGAACAAGCATGGGCTCGACCAGAAGCCCTTCTACTTGAACCTTCTCTTGGATGAGCTCCTGAAGCGCGACCTGAAGCTCGACATCCTGACTCTCAACGACACTCCGACAAGTGCTATACCAAGTAGTGTCCACGCCCCAACCACCATCCTTGGCAAGAAAGAAAAACCTCTTCTTCCACCCCTTGACCTTGTTGGGAAAATCAACTAATACCTTCCTCCCATTGCGAAAGGGAAGGTAAAAGCAGAATGGACCCGAGATCCTCTTCATATGAACCAAAGTGGAGAAGACCTCAAGACTCAACAAAAAGTTCCGATGGTGACACAAGCTAATCAGTCCAACCAGAGTTCGGACTACATTGGGGGTGAGCTGACCCAATGATGCAGGGTAAAGTCTTAAGACAACAACTACAAAAGGATGAAGATGGAAGCGAAGACCAGCTGCCAATGTCTCCTCATAGACACATAACGCATCATGGTTATGGTCCCATGGATAGTGGTCAACAACCGGCTCGATCTAGCGGTATTCATTGGGGATTTGATACCTATGACAGAGCTCGATTATTTCCTCCCCATTCAACTCGGTCGGTTCAAACATGTTTATTACTTCCTCAACCTCGTATCTTTTTCCTACCAAAGAACCATCATAGTATACTCTGATCGAGCTCTCCCCTGAGGAGATCGCCTTTCTATCCGACCTATCATCGGGCAGCCTACCCCTAGACGCACTATCAAACATTGCGAGAACCAGAGTACTCACCGGAAAAAAATGAAGGAAAATTGAAGATGACGATGGCAGAACTCGGACCAACAGAAAATAGAGCTCGGACTAACATACCAGCTTAGCTTGCTAAGCGCAGTACTCAGAAAATTCCAAGAAAAGAACAGTATGAGTGGGGACTTCAATGGGGGACCCCATACTTATAGCCCGCCAAGAGCAGATCGACGGTCCAGAGCGCGCCGACAGCTGGATTACAGCTAGCGGCGTGCGCGGGAAGATTTAAAATAGTGCCCCCCTTTTTGAAATTTGAAAAATTAGTGCTCCCGAATCACGCGCCTCTCTAAAATCCTTCCCGCGCGTGCCCTCTTCTCCTCCCAGATTCGAAATTCGAAAATAAGATCGTGGTTCACTCAGCTTGGGACCGAGTTACAAAGCGAGCCGAACGACCTATGAATCAGTCGGACCAATTACCCTTACTAAGAGCTACTCTCTTCATCGAGCTAACGTTGGCTTGAGAGTGGGGGGCAATTGATGAGGGGTAATTTGGTCCTCCCAATCGTTTAGCGACACATGGTTTTCGGATGACACCTCGGCGTTGAGTCAGCTGACCAGCTCGGTAAGTTAGCTTAGAGCACCTCGCTCAGGCCGACCTTCACCTCGACAAGGCTGAGCTAGCAGACCCGTAAGATTACGATGACCTGTTCTAGGAGCTAGCCAAGCCTAAGGCGACATACGAGGAAGAGCTCGCTAACTGCCCCTAGCAGTTCGCTACCAAAGGCGCCGATAGGGGGCTAATGGGTGATTGTCCCAATGACGAAAAATAATATAATAATCACTGAACTGTTGTATCATTAATGTGTTTTGTCCTTTTTCTAAAAAGGACCATTGTATCTTTTAGTCTCGATAACACTTAATACTTTTTCTAAAAAGGTTAAGAGTATTAAGAGTACAAAACACAAAATCCAATATTATAATATATTCATATATATTATATATTATATTTATATTTAATTGAATTCGTTTATCGAATCAAATAGGCCAGTATTCGAATTCGACAATTAAATTAATCGAATTATCCGAATTCGATTAATTTATGTCGGATATCGAATTCGAAATCGGATACTTGGATACCGTTTACACCCCTAATTTTGGTCTGAATAAATAATTTAATAACCATGAAATGATGATGACATTATAGAATCCAGTTTCTTTTTCCAAGTCTTCTCATTCTCTCTCTCTCTCTGTCACACACACAAAATATGGTTGCTTTATTGGTATAGTTGTCCAGGTTTTCTTTCAGTTGAAAATTACACCTATAGTAATTCTGATAATGCAAGAAAAGAAGAAAAGAGAGAAAGAGAAAGAAGAAGAAAGAAGTTTCAGCAATAGGTTGTGGAAGAAGAAAAGAAGGGAAGAGAGAAAAGAAGAATTTGAACCTCTCTCTCTAGCCCCCTTTCACCACTTTTATTAATAATTCTATGTCTGAGTACAATTACTTGGATGCCCTTAATGGGGCGGCCAGCACTAAAGAAATAATTAAAGAAAATAAAAGAAGGCCCATAACTAAGAAACATAACTTTTAAATACTACTTAAAAGAAATAAGGAACACTAAGGCCCATTCGGCCCATTCTCACTACACTTTCCTATAATGACTTGTTTAGTTTTGATTTTGAAAATTTCATTGGGCACTGTAATCTCCTTTGTTTACATCAATGTAGCTCATACTGTTGGTCAAAATGCTAGTCAACATTTTCTTCCTAAACATGCATGCATTTTCTCATGCATCCACTATTTCACAATTTTCTTTTGTTCAAATTGCAGGCAGTTAAAAGCCCAAATCTGGATTATTCTCACTTTGTATCACTTCCATTGGCTATCCACCCTGGACTGGTGGATAAGCTTATAAATTTTCAGAACTCCATACTAGGAAATACGGATTCTAGCCTAGAGAATCTTGATAGTGATTCAAGTGGAAATACGGATGGGGAAGATAAGGACCAGCTGAAAGATGAAGAAAATAATGTTGCAGTTACTCTTAAAGTTGAAGATGATAATGAACATGTTAAGGTGGAGATAAATAAAATAGCTTTCAAGAGCTATCCACCCAAAGCATCAAAATCTTCTAACCTATCTGGTATGACAGCAAGAAGCATATGTGGTTATAATATTGAGCTCTAACAGTGAATTCCATTAGAACTCTAGAATGTAATAATAAATCTTTACTGTGAATTCTTGTGTGTGTGTGTGTTTTTTGGGGGTT